CTAAGCATTATGAACCCCAAATTGACGGGCTGTGAAGCTTCCCTTGTACTCTTAGCGGTGTCTTCTCTGACTGGCAATCATTCGGACCTATCATAGGTGGAAATCTTTCCAAATCCTGCTCCCAGAAATCTTTTGAACCCGAGTGGCCAAAGATCGAATCTAGGAGCTTTTATGAACAAAGCGGCGTGCTTTCCTGCTGAGAAATGGACCTTTCTCTTTCTTTTGCAACGCTTGCATTTATCTTCTGGAGGGCTGGGGCCGAGAGGAGGGGAAGGGGAGGTGGCGGCAGCGCTGAACAGCATGACAGATGCTTTCAAGTTGCAGGACTGTAATTGACTTGGAGACTTGATCGAAAGCTGCGGAAGCTGCTGGTTATGCTAGAGAGATTAGAATGGGCAGGGAAGGTGGTGGGGTGCATGTCTGTTGCTCCTTGCCCTTGTTTAACCGCAAAGACACTCTCTGATCTGCTTACAGGATTAATCGCCTAAAGCAGTACCTCTTTTAAAAAAAAAACCTCATAACTCTGTTTTTACCTGTGCTCTGCAGGCTTTAACTTCCTCTGGAAGAAGAAGAAAAAAGTCAAAACTTGTAAGGAACCACATCAAAACCATTCAGACTTAGGTTGTTTTAAGATCATGGGCCAAAGTAGTGGTCACATCTGTGTTTATACAAAAATTCAGGCCTTTCTATTAAAGATTGGAATATTGTTCAGGAACTCTTTGGAAAACGTGAGCAGAAAGGGGGTGCCTGTTTTTGGCTGAAAAAGAGCCAAAAGTCAGGAGCTCCTTTCCCCCTGTCTCTGGAGCAAGCTGTTTAATGGACAACAGATGGCCACTCTCCGTGGTTTGGGCTGATCGGCTGGTTTTGTTGACGATTGCCCTGGTGTTTGCTGGGCTGTGTTGGAGCAGCTGTTTTTCCTTCTCAAGTTGGAGCATTACAGTGGATGTTTATTGTATAACAAAACAATTTTGTTTAGAGGGGACATAAAACCTGGGAATTTGAATACCCCATGTATTCTTGGTGAAATCCTTTCATGTAATGAATGCCTGTCAGACCAATGGAAGAGTGGCTATTTGCAGGCAGGACCAGTAGCCATCAATTACTCCCTGTGCTGCTTCTCTTGAGGACAGGTCATGCTTATTTTGGATCACTTCCTTTTAGATCCTTTTCCTGCAATTGGGCAGTTGGCAAATGAGTTCTCTGTCCCTGTCACTGATGGGGAAAACAACTGACTCGACATTCCAGAACAAGTTGAAATTCAACTGTTGACATCAAAGTGATCTGCAGTACATGGAAACAGCCTAATTTTCAGACTAGCATATTAAAGATTTTTGCAGTTTCAGACATTTTCCCATTTTTGTGTTTTTTTACAAAACATTAAGAATAATTTGGGAGGATTAGACTGAGACACATGCCTCAAAGTTCAAACGTACTAAGTTAACTTCTAAAGAAATGTGGAGGTGCTGAAAAAGTGAAGGTAGCGCATAAAACGATTTGCCTGTTAATTTCTGAACAATGTCTTAAAACAGGAGTTGGCAGAAGGCAGACAGGTAATAACTGGCTGGTGGATCACCCTGTGTCTCCCCCTGGTTGCTGGGATTCTTGCAAAGAATGAGGGATTGGGTGAATATTGATCTGGTCCAACAGAGCACTTCCCGTTTTAGAAGATAATTAATATTTAGGATCTTTTAACCCAGTTTAATTATAGTGCTGCATTTGAGGCACAGTTACCAGGGACAACCCGTGAGTGCAGAAAGCCGTTTCCCAAGTGATGGCTTGCCTTGGTGGTATGGTGGGACTGCCAGGTGTCTCCCCTACTAGTGGATCCCCCGCTTGGAGATAATTGAGTTCACATCCTTACTCAACCATGAAGCTCACTGGGTGACCTTGGGCCGGTTACTCTCAGCCCCATTGATCTCACTGGGTTGTTATACAGCTGAAGTGGAGTCGCCATCTCTATGCATGTTGATGGAGGGACTCTAGCTTAGTGATGGAACCCTGACTGTGTGTGCTTTGGAGAATTGGTGAGCTCTTCTACCTGGGGCTCACGGGCTGCAATTTACCCACCAGGCTCCTTTCTGAGTAATTTGTCTTAAAAGATTATTATTATTTTTCAAAACTGGGATGGTGCCTTGCTTCAATGCTGCCCTCCAGCCCCATCTTTATTTAAGTTCAACAGAGAGGACTTCTGTGGTAGAGCTCAGATTCCCACTTCTGCCTTTCACTTAGATTCTTGGATAAGTTTATTTTCTTTTATGTATTTGCCTTTTGGAGGAAAGAGTGTTTTGTGTTTGGCCTTGTGCCCTGCCACAGCAGCTGTTTTATGAATGGACTGGGCAGCCCTAAGGCAGCCATTTTGTGAGTATGCCCACAACTTTGAGAATGCCAAATCTGTTGACCAATCATGTGCTGAAGACTCTGGAAGTCTGTTTGCATCCACTCAGAATAGACACCTCTGGTCTAGATACAGATCTGAGCTGGTATAAGGCAGCTCCAGTGTTGCTCTTTTTGGACCAAGGGTGGGATGATAATGCAGTTAATAGTGTGCTGTTGTCTTTAAATTATCCTACAAACTGGGGAGGAAAATAATCCTACTCCTCGGTTTCCCTGTATTTCTGATTTGCTGCAGAAACATGGCAATCTTTTCCTTTCCTCTTGGCAGATTGTTATGGTCAGGACAATTTACCAAGCAGTGGCAAGTTCATTGCCCCAACTTAGTACTTGACTGGTGGCTGTCTTGGTGGAGATTAAGCCACAGTTCAAAGAAATGAGATCAGTGGGTCATTCTCAACCTTCAGGAACAAAAGGGGGACAGCAACATTTGGACTTTGCAGCTAGGAGGTTAGGCGGGGAAGTGCTGTGTGTCTCCATCTGGAATGTGCTGGTTCAACCAAAAACACTCGCTCACCTTTTTAATGTCAGTCCACCTGCTTTGCACACTCAGCTCAAATTGCATGTCCTGGCAATCTTCACTTGGCACAACAGCCTCGTCTCTAAATGAAGGTTGCCCGAGTGCTGCTAAGGACATTGTGACCTCACATTTGTGTGTTTACTGGATCCTGGGGTGATTTATGTAAAGTCATCAAGAAGCCTATATTGACTAAATAGGAGGGAAAGTGTTGTCGGGGGAGGGGGGTTTACTAAAGGAGCCTTTTTTCCAGGTGTGTGTAAAGTTGTGCTGTAAAAAATTGGCCTACCGTGGAACAAGGCCTCATGTTTGCTGAGTTGTCAGTAAAACGCATGACTAAAACATGCCATTTAAAAACCTTCTGCTAGAGGCATTTTCTGTCAATATATTATCATAAAATTGCCTGTGGCAAATGCGTGTTGTCTGGTGCAGTCCCAAGAGAATGGAATGATAAAGTATACGAAATGTCTCAAGGAGTATAAATGTAAAAACATTATCTAGTGTGTTGAAGGGGAAATGCTCTTCGCATGTGAATATGATGTTTCAAGCTTAGGCCTTCTGAGAGATTTATGGGCACTTAATCAAATGTGTTCCTCCACTACCAGTTTCGAAACCCAGTTGAATGGTTTTCTGTGTGTCTCTGCTGTTTGGCTACACCTGCCAAACTACCACTTCAGTTCAGTGCTTCTGGCTTTTGGAACATCAGGAATCTACCATATGAGCCAGAACTTTTGCCAGAAGTCTGGATTCTGTGTGCATGCACATATTTGGGTGGGGGATTATTCCCAAGGCACTACAGTTAATGCACTTCTGATCATTCCCCTCTTATCACTAATAGGGCCATTATTTCTCACAATGTTTCCATCCTGTAGTCCAGCAGTTGATTTTCTCCCCTCACTCGAGTTTGCTTTATTGCTGCACTCTTGGATAGTGTTGCAGAGTTACAACCCAGAGACTGTGTGTTAGGATTAACAGCTGTAAGGCCAGGTGGGCCAAGAGTAGATCTGAAAATATTTGGGCTTCCATTTCCAGCGGCCTTGACCATTGGCCATTCCAACAGGGACTTCTAGGAGTTGGAGTCCCAAACATTTGGAGTTCTGTGTACCCCACCCAAATTAGGTGGGAAAATGACCTCCCCGTCTTCTAACTCCTCCAGTCCTTGAGCCATCTTTCTAATTCCTTCCCTGTTTTCTATAACACAGGATTCTGAGAGGGGTGTGATAGGAGCAAGTGATATGGCCTGGGAAAGGAATGGGGAAACAGCCGCTTCTACCACTTAGTTGTGGCATTCAAACCTATACACCAACCTGGCTAGTCTCACTATCAAGCGTGTTGGGTGGGCTGTGTGGAGGTCTGTGGAGGGGCAGCAGAGTACGACCCTCCCTAACGGTTTTCCTGTTACCCAGCTATCACCTGATCTTCCATATGCACATATGTCCAGTAACTCAGCAAAGCAAATGGCGTGATGATTGGGAATGTAGGCCAGCATTCTGTACACACAGTAGCAACCCCCTGCCCAGGTTTCTCATCAACTGGTGCATGCAGGCATGCTATCGCAGGTCAGCAAGTCTCTACTTCTATGAACCTGTCTAATCCTTTTTTGAAGTCTTCTAGATTTGTGGCCATCACTACTTCCTATGGTGGTACATTCTGTAGTTTAACTATATGATATGTTCACACTAGCATCCATCATTCACATGTTGCACACCCTTGACTTGGGGCATTTAAGCGTTGCTAACCTCTCATTCCTTTTCTTTGCATTTAATTGAGTGTTTGCTATTGACTCATATTAACAATGATTCCCAAGGAGATGGGAGCAAGCCTTGTTGGTGTCTATTCTCTGCACTAATTAACTGCAGTGACAATTTGTGTTCACACAAGGAACTGTAACAATGGGGAAATGTCGTTCAAAGAAAAATCTCCCTTTTTCCTTTTTGATTTGGATGGGTCTCATCCTCTGGAAGATTGCTTTGTTAGCAAACCAGTTATCAGGAAAGACTGTATTTCCGAGATGATTAAAGCCAGGGTATGAATCGGAGTTGATTTGGAATGAATACACACTCTAATTAAAATTTCTGTTGCTTCTGTTTAGATGAAAATACTGGAGATGGTGAATTAGATCTAAGTGGAATTGACGACAGCGAAATAGATATGGTAAGAATGCTTCCGCTTCCCTCTGCAGTAATAGTCTTTACATGCATGTGGATTTGTTAAGAATGTAAGATGTTTCATGAGGTCAAGATTCTTCTGTTTTACTCAGGCATCCAATTGACCCAATAAATGCTTTCTATCTATTCTGATAAAGCACATATCACAATAACTCAGGAAATTGTTAGTATAAGTGGTAGCAGGGCTAATAGTATAACATTAAAGTAACAGTGGAGAAAATAAGCAGGTACGGCCAGGTGGGAGATTACAGGCACGGAATGCAGGCACAGGGTTAAATCAAACATTCTGCAAGCAGATTTCCATCTATGCAACAGGACTTCCCCTTATTCTCCTTCCCTTGAAATCTATTCTGGAGGGTCCCCCAAGCTCTGGAGTAGATTTGAGGGGCTGCAGGCAAGTGGGAAAACCCTTTTCCCAACTCCTTCTGTGGCACTGGCGCACAGCCAGCACTAGATGCTTCCCATCAAATTAAGCAGGGAGGACTATCAGAAGCCTTAAATTTGTTTATTTGCTTATTTTAGTGCCACTCCTAATTTTCACAAATCCTGGACAGGTTTACAACAATACCATGAAGCAACAGAACAGTACAACAAGTGCACAATGATACACTGTAGAATTTGTTAATAATAGTGCCTGGCTGAAGGCACACCCAAGGAAAAAAGGTGACTTTTCTGTACGTCTCTAAAACACACGAGCACTGAGACTTGACATCCCGCAGAGAGGAGATCATTCTACAGGGCAAATGCTGCCACAGAGAAGGCCCATCTCTGTGTCATTCTCTAAAGAAAATGTGTAGGCCATGGCATGGCCAGCAGGGCCTCTGCTGAAGGTCGTAGTGGCCTGCGAGGTTGGTATAGGGGAAGTCTTTCCTTTAAGATAATGTTCTCCCTCTGCCTGTGTGTATATGAACATGAAGAGAGAGAGAGTTATCAGAGATATATTACGTTGGAAAGATGCCTGTTTCTTTTTTGATATGACACACTGGAGTTCAGTGGAGAGAGAAAGGCCTACTATACATGCTGAGAACTATTTCTTTGTTATTTCTCCTGTGTTTCTTTACTGGGGGTGGGAGCAGGTGGCATGAGCACTATGGGGAGGATTGGATGCCTTAAATGGATGCAGCTAAAGGAGGAGGGGCAGAACAACATAGTTATCTTCAATTCTTGTTTGCTTTTTCAAAAAAGAAGTGCTCCTATCCAGCCATTCCAACTAACTGGATTTAACAAAAGTCTATATGGTTATGACTATAGTGGTGGTATCCTAGAACCTTGTAAGGTCAGTGCAAAGGACCTGTGGATGGCGCTGCAACTCATTTCTCTTCATTGCCCCCAACATGTCCACCAACTGCAGCTGCTTTGGTAGTTCCCCCCACTTCTTTTTCTTGCCATTCCCTCCCTTCCCTCCCTGCTTTCCTTCCTTCCCCACTCTGCTGTATGCAACACTGCAGCTCCTTTCTCTCCTCTCTCCCACCTGGAAGCTCCCTCTAGATGGAGCAGATTGTTCTCAGAAAGAAGGGGGAAGAGGAAAAGCAGGAGAGCTCATGATGGTCAGTATGCAAATCGTATGCAAGACTGTGTTACTGCTTCCTTGATCAACTGCTGAAGGCATTGCACTTTTTCTCCCCTGTAGTACATACTTAATGATTCGGAAGCCAAAATAAAAGCAGAACTGTGGATGAAGGAAAATGCGGATTACCTGAAGGAACAAAAGGGTAAGCAAAATGAATGAAGCTCCTTTTCTGATAATTCATGTAGTGAACTAACTCTCTCTCTCTCTCTCTCTCTCTCTCTCTCTCGCACACGCACACGTGTCTCTTTGACTGTCTGGGTATATATAAACCTTTGTGTCTGTCTGTTGCATGCCCTCCCCAAAGAGGCCCACCTAGCACCTATGTTGTTGTATTTTTGATACCAGGCAAAGACCTTTCTTTTCTCCTACTCATTGCTCCCTAAGACAAATTACATTATTTATATAACCTTATAAATAAATGCATACTTTATTTGATAGCTGTTCTTTCATGATTTCCCACTATTCTTTTCCAGAAAAAGAAGCAAGGATAGCTAAAGAGAAAGAGCTTGGGATTTATAAAGAACATAAGGTAAATTCTACTTTTGGAATAAGAGGACTGCACAGATTGCTGGTTAATTATACTGGCAGAAAAATTAGAAAGGGTCAAGAGGAGGGCATCAAAAATGATCCAGGGTTTGGAAACACTACCTGTGAAGAGAAACTGAGAGAACTGTTCAGCCTTGAGAAGAGAAGAAGGAGGGGGGACATGATATCCCTCTATAAGTACCTCAAAAGCTGTCACAAGTAGGAAGGTCAAAATCTCTTCTTGCTGATACCAGAGTGTAGGACATGGAATAATCAAGTCAAATTGCGACAACCCAGGTTCAGGCTAGTTATCAGGAAAAGTTTCCTCACTGTCAGAGCAATATGGCAGTGAAAACAGCTGCCTAGAGAAGTGGTGGGCTCTCCCACACTACAGACATTCAAAGTGAAACTGGACAGCCATCTGAGTGGAATGGTGTTAAATTGTCAGCTGGGGTTAAACAGCAGGGGTTTGGACTTGATGACCTTCATGGCCCCTTCCAACTCTTCTACTCTATAATTCCTGTACTTGATGCCCTTGGACCAGATGTATAGTAACTGGTTCTGAATAAAGTGGAACAGTCTAAAGAATAAGCCAGTTTAACTTTGCTTTGCAGTAAGATTTTTTAAAGGCAACACACCCCATGCTATATATTACTTATAATAAATCTTGACCTTAAGTTTTTCAGATAGCAAGGCTAACATTTCTTGGCTAAACTTCTTTTTTTAACTATCGGTGGAGGGAAAGACTGAATTACAAGTATCTGTTTGAAGTGAGGCCTCAAAGGTTTTTTAAACTGTGTCTCTGTTTAATTCACTCAGCTGCTATTTTTGCTTGTAGCAGCAAGTATTTTTAATCAAAATAAAGCAAGTCATATTTGATGGAAACCTTCCTGATTACATTTTTAATTTTTTAAAAATCCAAACCCTGTTTGTTTTTCCCATTTTGGATTTTTGCAGTAGCATCTAGGCTCCTACATGTTTTCATAATGGGTTTCTACTTTAAGAATGAAACTATAATCCAATATGCGACTCGTAACTTGGAATTTTGTTTTTTCTTTCTTTCACAAAGCATCTGATATGTGCATAATCAGAATGTTCCTTTACTAACACTTTTACCCCCATCCTGCTCCCCCAGTGAAATCCCCCCACCCTTTCAGCAGCAATGCAGTGGTCGTTTTATAAACTGCTGGTGGCACTGCAGAGATAAAGCTTGCAACCTTGGGAAAGGGCAGGCTACTCCACTTCCCGTATCTGTTGTTCTTGTGAAAGGTCTCTGTCCTGAGCCTCTTCAAAGCCTCAATCACTGTAGCTTCAGGGGCACTGCTTTTGTCATTGTCAAAGCAGCCCTTCTTTTTGCAGCACCAGTGACAAAATCATGTGGTCAAAACCTGACATACCATATAACGGTGTTCCTGTTATCAGGCAAAAAGACTGTTTTTGAAACTAACCAACCTGTACTCTTCCCCCAAAAACATTAGTATACAAGCAGCAGCAAATGGGTACTAACAAGATATGCTCTGGGAAATTGTTTCAGTCCCACAAAAGTCCTGTTTTCATGCTGATTAATTTTCCTCTTTCTAAACAGCATTTGGCTCAGCCAGACTGATTAGCAAGGTGTGCCTGCATGCAGACAATCACCTGTGGTGTCTTAAACCATGGTTTATGAAGTCATGGCCAGGTGCTATGGCCACATGCGCCTCCTTACTCCTTCCTGTCATGTGCTGTGTTTTGATGCAAAGCTTCTGGCTTAGATAAGCTGGAGCTCCCTGTTAACACCTGATCCAAGGAATGCTGGCTTAATGTTGATTGATGTGAGGATAAAGTGGAAGACTATGAAAGCTGCCTTGCATTCCCTCCAAGGAAAAAAAGCAGGGTATAAATGTAATAAAATAACTAACCATGATTAAGCATCTCTGCCAATAATGCTTAACCTTCCCTCTAAATCCGTCATGTATGAAACTTTCCTTGTTTGATAGCTCATGCTAGCTTGGCATTAAATCCTAGAACTATCCACTCCACACCTGTGGTTTTCAGAAGGTGTTAAGTTCAGTGGCAAATCATCTGCTTTGCATACAGAAGCATCCAGATTCACTCCCAGGTATCTCTAAGCAGGATTAGGAAAGCCTCTTGCCTAAAATCCTAAATCTGGGTTCTCTAGTGTGGTGGAGAACCCTCTTGGTGCCCTCCACGGTTCCCTGTCCCTTCCGATGTTTGTTTATTTCTTAAGATTCTTTTATTATTTCTGAAAAGAGGACATTGCCATGCTGCAAGAAAGCACAGCCATCTAGGTGCATCTTTATTTGGGTTCAACAGAGTGTTTTTGCATTCTGCAGCTCAGATCTCCACCTCTTCCTTGTACTTAGATTCATAGCCAGTTACTTTCCTTTTAGTCTCGCCAATTTGCCTTCTGGGAAAAGAGTGACTTGTGACTATCCGCTTTCATGCATGAGCAAGCCTGCCCCCCTGCCCACAGCCATTTTGTGAGAGTGCCCACCATACTCTTGGGGAAAATACCGGATGTCCTCACCAAGCCATAAAGGCCGGGGACCCCTGCCCTAGACAGCCACTTTTACTCAGCAGAGACAACACGGAGCCAGCTGGACCATTGCACTGACTTGGCACAAGGCAGCTGCCTGGGCTTCTGCCGCTGCACTGAGCTTGAGTGCTGTTGGTGCCCAGGTGACCTTGTTGTTGCTCCGGCTAGCACACATTATTTCTCAGGGGCTTGCATTAACCCAAGCCCATTTACCGGCAGTTTTCCAGCTCTGTGTATTCCACTCGACTGCTTCCAGTGATCTGAGGAGCAGCAGTCCCGTGAGATCTCCCGAACACGGCTCTCGACTTTTACTTAAACTGCCGCTGTATCCCTTGAGCTTCAGAGCATGTACTCAGTGTTTCTGTTCCATTCTGATCATCAGCATGAAGGCCAGCAGTGT